ATTCATCGTTTGATTTCAATACCAAGTTACGATTATTGCTCCTTCTTTAGATATGGTTATTTAAAAACTATCAAAAGACGGTGATAGAGAAAAACTGAAATAAGATAGATAGATAGATAGATACTCTTTATTGTTTCCTCCAAAAGATTACTATAGTAAACTTATTATAGATACAAACAATGTAGTTATAGTAATATTGGTTTATAAATTTAATAAATAAATTTAATAAACTGTAAATACAACTTAGAATTTAATTATTCGCCTGAACTTTAGTACATTATACTTTAATATTATTATTTTTAAATAAAAGAACACAACTGCTTCACGGTAGAAACACGAACAGACTTTTGTACAAAGTCTCCCTCTGCATCTAGCGAAGCATCAACTTGCCCGTCTAGCGGTGAAGATGAGATAAGACAGCGGTAATTTTATAGTAGACTAATAAAAAATGACTACTCAAAAATATTTATACAAAATTTACTTAACCAAAAAATATTCATTTAGTATTTATTTAATTTGTAACACAACGGAGACGGCAACACTGGTACACTTGGCCTTAATTAGCTTACATGATGTTTATTACATAATCCCAGTTAAATTACGGTCACCAATGACAGTAATGTTGCGTGATAGACTGCAATGATAATTGTCTAGTATGTACCTAGACCCTGAACGACAATGTTTATCTAGATTCTTCGAGATGCGTATCTAAATTACATAGTTGCCTATTGACGTAATAATAAAATGGTTTCAAACTGTCCATAAAAAATATACTTCAAACATGTAATCCTATTTCAATAATGTTTAAATTATAAAAGTTTAAATTTTAGAATGAAAATTTTACGGAAATTTGAAATAAACTTAAAGTAAGTAATTTTACCGTAACTTATGTAGTAACACCGAAGTTATCTGTCAATATTCAAAAACAACTCACTGATTAATCATCACGGTCACCATATCAGCCTTTAACCACTGCTGAACATAAGCCTCCCCCTTGGAGGGATTTTGTCAGTAGTTGCCACACTTGGCAGGCGAATTGGCAACCGTAGTCAGGCTTTAGAGATGTTTTAAGAGGGACGCTGATGCCCATACCTATTATTAATATTTCTGATTAATTGTTAGAAAAGTGCTCTAATACCAAAAAAAATGTTAATCACAGAATACGTAGCAAACGGTATGAAATTCGACAGCAACGCCCATAATAATATTTTATTTATTTTGTTTCACTATGACGTAACGGATATAACTTGTAAACACACTTGGCCTTAATTAGATGCCATAAGTATTAAATTTGTGTTACACTGCAGCCGGCAATGAAAGTAACAGGCGATACGATGGACTTTTGTACGCGGACGACAATAGTCCGCCGTTTGAGTCGCCGGAAACCGGTCAAGATGTCCAGACTTTTGAATACACCAGAGAAATCTTACCAGAGAAAGACTTTATACAAAAATCGTTTACTTGGGCATCTCTGTTCCATTCGTGTTACTACCGTGAAGCAGTTGTGTTTACATGGCTGTTTCGGTTTGAAGGGTGAGATGTGGCAGTGAATTTACAGGGTACAGAGAAATAAACTGAGTCCTCAGGAATGGCGACACATGTGGCGAAATAGTATACTCTGTTATGTCCATAGTACCGCTCATATTGGTGACGGTTACCACTTTCCATCAGGTCATCGTCAGCTTGTTTGTCATTCTAAGTTGTATAAAAAAATCCAACGAGAGACAAACTTCGAAGTAAATTTTAGTCACAATAAAATCTCTCAATTGTATACTTCGATACGTATATTAAGAGGAAAATATTGGAAGTAACGGAGATTACCTAGCTGCAATATTGCTAGCAATATACCCATTCAGATCGACCTCCACGCGGACACTCCTGGAAACTATAGTAATTAATTCCGCGTAAATTCATCATAATGGGTCAGTAGAGCTGAGCAATACCCATTATAAATGTCTGGTTTCCCGCCAGCATATATCGATAGCAAAGGCGTAGTTACCACTCCATTATCATCAACTGAATAATATCTATCAAGTCAATCTCCATACAGTCCATCGAGAAAACGATAGTGGTTTATTCCTGGTGAATTTATCACAAAGAGCCAACTGCCTGATTTCATCCCAACATATTATTCCTCACTGGTAGCCCGCTTGAATTATCATTCCATTATTAAGATTATGTTTTAGAAAAAAAAGACTAATTGTGGTAAAACCGATTATATAGATTTGAAAATTAAACTAAATTAAAATTAACCAATTTTGATAAAATTTCTATGGGACCAGTCTGTAAGCATTTGGAAAATTTTTCAAATTGGTTAACAACTGACAGAGTTATAACAAACATAAAAAACAAAACCGAATTGAGAACTGCCTTCTTTTTAAAGTCTGTTAAAAATCCGCGAAAACAATTTTTTTTTATATACAAATTAGAATGACAAACAAGCTGACAGTCCACCTGATGGAAAGTGGTAACCGTTGCCTATAGACATGAGCAGTACCATGGACATAACAGAGTATACTGTTTCGCTCATGATACCCCCCATGCGTTACCATTCCTGAGGACTCAGGTGTTATTCCTCTGTACCCAGTAAATTCCAATGTCCTTCGTCTGAGCAAACTTTAAGGTTTCCAACTCGGAAATAACCTTGATCTCGTCACAATATGTAACGAAGCCTCCTCACTCACCGCACGAGACCTCACGGATGGCGTTGCATGTGTATCTCGTGTCTTGCATCATATTACAGCGGTTTAGCAAGGACCATTTATAAGTATAGACTTAACATAATTACGTTACATTATTGATGATTAAAGATAGCCGTGTGGTCCCGGCATAGAATAGGCCACCGCTTCCTTTCCTATGTGTGTCGTAAAAAACTACTTAGGGAGGGCGAGGGATGGACAGCTGTGTCCCTTTAAAACATCTCCAAGCCGAACTGCGATTGCCAATCCGCCTACCAAGTGTGGCAACTACTGGCCCAAGAGGGAGGCTTAAGTTTAGCAGTGGACAGCTAAAGGATGAAAATGCAGTTTTTGCTACGTATTTAGTTAATTTTGTAGTCTTTTTTATTATAATTTTTAACCATTTGTTTAACCCCTGTGGGTACTGTAAAAAATAAATAAATAAAGAAAATACCTCTACATGCCCATTCATAGTAACTTTTAATATTTTAATTGGTAACACAAAGTGTCAATATGAGAACGTTATTCACGGATGTTTTATAAAAAGAAAACCTCTTATAATTCTTTTTCATTCAATATGCAACGGCACGGAACCCTAGACTCTATAGGCACGGGGTTAATTCGTATTCGGCCCAGTTTTATCAATTCGCAACGTCGGAACTGAGGTCAAAACGTCACAGAAGCGACGCGTGCCACTGCAATAAACAAAACAACTTGTCATAACAGAAAATGTTGGCACGTTAACACGTGCGTTGCATTATGACATTGCTGGGTGCCGGCCAAACCTGTAAACCCTTCTAAAGGCTCACACTACCTTGAGGTGAAATAAACGTAGATATTTATCTACTTTTGACTGCTAGAGAATGCTGTTAAGTCCGCCTTTTGTACCATATTTTATTTTGGTCAATAAATTTATTTAAATAAATAAATCTTTATACCTCTATTTCAAAATACCAAGGTGTTTGTTAGGGGAAAAATAATTGTTTGTAATAAGATTACTGTCAGGTCGACATCCACGCGGTCACCTTTGAAAACGATCGTAGTTAATTTCTAAAGTCGCAATGAACCCTGTCAGCGTATACTAAAAGCATAGACAGACTTAGTATTCCATTATTCATAATGATGAATGCTGAGTTCTTTAGACTGTAGTTTAAGACTTCTAGAGATAAACTTACATAAAGCCGTATTACATTTAAAAAAAAATTGTATATACAGACACCCGCTATTCCAATTTTATTTGTAGCGGCATTTCTTCAATGATCTAGAAAAAAAGTGATCCAAAAACATTTTAAATCAAGACTGGGTCGTGTCGACTTTGTAGATAAGCCAAATCCCTCAATTGTAAGCTGCCACCGCGAGGTATGTTCGAAGTACTGTTGTAGTAGTAAAAAATACCGAGCTTCATTATTACCAGGCATTTGCAGTAGATAAATTTTGTGAATATTTATCTAATTTAGATAGACGCTTTTTACTCATATATAAAGATCTACTATATTAAAAAGGGGTTTACAATCGACGTTCAGACTGCCTGGCATAGTAAATAAAGTATACTTGAATATTTGATAATTTGAGATTGTATTCCAAAAAAAGAAAACTACTTTAATTATGGCAAAACTAGTTATTTTGATATAAAAGCTAAAGTACTGGATCGATATTCATAAAATCTCTATGGCACCCATTTGTAAGTATAACCTTGCAGATAAAGCTCTATGGCACCCATTTGTAAGTATAACCTTGCAGATAAAGAAGAATTTTTCAAATCTGTTTATAACTGACAGAGTTATGAGTTAACAAACAAACAAAAAAACTACAAACGAATTAAGAACCTCCTTTTGGGAGAGGCCTATGTTCAGCAGTGAACAGTAGACGGCTTACATGATGATGATGATGATGATGATATCATATGTTTACAAAGAGAGACTTGTGCCCACCAGTAAAACTAGCTTGTAAAGCTAAACAAAGCTGTAATCATCATCATCATCATCATCTTGCCGAGCAGTATAAAATAGTTCGATCTCGCTACCAGGACAATATAAATTATAGGAGTAGGTATTTATAAAAAATACTTATCATGAAATTATTTCATATAAACCATCTCTGACAAGTACAGAATTTCACTGTCGGTACCAGGATATCATAAATTATAGGAGTAGGTATTTATAAAAAATACTCACCACGTGTGAGCCTAAGTGTTATTAAAATAATTATAACGATTTTGAATGAATTATTTCATATATAAATCATCTCTGACAAGTACAGAATTTCACTGTCGGTACCAGGATATCATAAATTGTATTTTGAGTAGTTACAAACAATACTCACAACGAGTGAAAGCCTGTGGTGTGGGGGCGGCGGCGGCAGCCTCGAGGGCCGCCGCGACACTACACATGGCTCTTTCTGTGAACAAATAATAATAATAATAGATGATTATTTGTGATTATTTGAAAAAAAAAATCGACTTCAATTATGACAAAACTAAGAAAAAAAAAAGAAAGAAAGAATTTATTGCCAACAACAAAAAGAGTTTACATTAATTCACAATAGAAAACAAACTTCACATTTGTTATTCATAATGTTGCCGCCACTTAGCAACAACTAGTTGTTTTGATTTAAAACAAAATTACTAGACCGATATTGATAGAATTTCTACAGAACCAAACTGTAAGTATATCCTTTCAGATAAAAAAAGAATTTTTCAAATCTGTTCACAATTGACGGAATTATTAGATAACAAACATGAAAAAATACAATCGAGTTTAGAACTTCCTTTGGAGTTCCTTTAGGAACAATAAACTCCAAAACAACAATTTATAAAACTTTTATCTCTATACCTGTCTGTCTGTCTATTTGTTTGTGTGTCAATTTGTTTGTCTGTCTATCTGTACCAGTAATTTCACTATTCGTATGTAGTCCATTTACCAATATGTCTCGATACTTCTTATAGTTTCTCTTTACTCTTCAGAAATCCATGCACACATGAAAAATTCACCCATTAAATATATATATACACTTAGAGTAGTAAATAATTTAAGAAACGTGCTGCGAGAGTGTGATACTTCACTTCGCATCTCTTGAATTAATAAATAATCAAAGGACGGGCCATTCCCTCGCGTAAATGTAATATTTATTATTGACAAATAGTGTCTGAATAAAATCCGCGTGTGACGACACCTTTAGGGTGGCGTGGTGAAATGAAGAACTGTTAGCCTATGACGTAATATTTACAATACAGGAAGAAAAAGTCGTTTCCTTGGGTACCTCTGTCCCATTCATATTTCAACCGTAAAGCAGTTGTATTTGTATGGCTGTGTTTCGATTTGAAGGGTGGGATATGGCGTGAACTTACAGGGTACAGAGGAATAACACCTGAGTCCTCAGGAATGGCAACGCATGGGAGGTATCATGGGCGAAACAGTGTACTCTGTTATGTACATGGTACTGCTCATGTCTATAGGCGACGGTTACCACTTTCCATCAGGTGGGCCGTCAGCTTGTTTACTATTCTAAGTTGTATAAAAAAAATCTATTTCGTTTTGATAATTTATTTTTAATATACATATGAGATATAATAGACTACTAATTAAAAAAAACTTATACATACTTATATTTACTTGAATAAAATTATTCTTATTATAGTCATACTGACCACATGGACGGAGAGCGTCGGCGCTGATTTTCCAAGCGCGGAGCGGCGCAAGCGCACAAGATTGCTATCGCGCGACGCCGTGCCCGCATCTGTAAACAAACACTATAATTATTCACAGTCGTTCATATCGGCCCGTGACATTAATGATGCGATGACACAACGCTGTTTGGATGCAATACGAAGGGTAAACATATGCACGGCATCACAATTATAAGAGAACAATCTAACACAATATCTACTACTTTGATGCCTAAATAAATCTAAACAGTGCATTTCAGAATAAAAAAATGTATTAGTAGAATATATTGCCAAGTCATTATAATTACTTGGCATTTGTAACAGAATCTCGATTATTCGAATATTCGATTATCCGGACAAAGCAGGACGAATCAGATCCCATACGGTTGTTACAACTGAACCACATGAGGGACTTGGCCGCAGGGAAATGACGTGATTCATTACATCAAATATTAATAACTAATTACTAATCAAAATTTTAAATTGCATAGGTATTATTTAATCCATTATCTTAATACTTCGTCATTTTATTATATCGTATTGTCTAAATGGCATATGTAAACTCCTTTACATAATAGAAAATATTAATATTTAATTGTTTAATTTGACTTTAAAATCGATTATTTGGATTTTACGGAATACCCCTGGTTTTATTCGATTCGGATAATCGAGATACTACTGTATTAAAAAACAAAGATGTCTAATATTGATACGGTCACTATATATGTTGATAGGTAATTGATAAGATAACAATTTATAACAAAATCATTAAACAGGTGCATCCATAGACACTAAATAAAATTTATTGACTTGATTTTACACGAGATCTCACAACTTTTTTATAGTGGAAGAACTGCGTTGCGGGACTTGGCACTTTTTTACACTTTATATTTTCAGTAGGATAATTATTACAGTAATTCATACCAGCTCGTGACATTAATGACACTGCGACACAATGGCCGAGTGTAACATCAAGGGTAATATATGTATTATTATGACATTTACATGGATTAGCTTATTTCGTGCCCTGTCATGTCTACTGACACAATGTACTTAACTCTTTACGAGTTACAAAGAATATGAAATAATTGGAGATTTGATGAAATGTGATATAAAGACCGGTAAAATTAAAAATTAAGTTTGATATCACTGCGAAATCTTTATTCTAAATACTAATATGAAATCAATACTATATGTATAAAATCGTAACTGGTCGCTGTCTGTACATGGAAGATATTTTTTCTAATGCAACTTAGAATGGCAAATATTTAGGTACTATAGTACTCAATGATGACATAAACAAACCCTCGTGGCAATAATGTATAATCTTCAGAAGATATAAAATGTGAAACTTTGTCAATACACGTGCCTATTTGTTACGTATAAATAGTCAAAGGAATTTAAATAAAATTTAATATATAAATGGACTATGTACATTACTACATACATGCATTATAATAATAATAATAATATTTATTTAATTAGACTACATAAGGCTCATGTTGTTAGTTACAAATTGACTTAACCTATGTTAGTAAATGAGCGGTTATAACGCTCTTACATTGATAATGATTAGTAGATTTTTTTACGCAACTTAGAATGGGAAACAAGCTGACGGCCCACCTGATGGAAAGTGGTAACTGTCGCCTATAGACATGAGCAGTACGATGGACATAACAGAGTATACTGTTTCGCCCATAATACCCCTCAGGTGTTATTCCTATTTTATCCTATTATTAAAAAATAAAAACTTAAAATGCAACGAAAATCTTAATAAAAATGTTGGTCACATTGATTGTGACACACCTCTGCCGCGCCCAAAATAATGTTTATATAAATAAATTTAAGCGAAATGCCGCGGCAAATATTCTAAACATGCAGGAATCCCGATAACGTATTTAGACTAGAGAGCATAGTTGGCGCAAACGTTGGATCAAACATTGCATCACACGATCCAATGACGTAAGGTCGGCAACAAAACAATACAACTTTCCAAATTTCTATTTTACTTAAAATCGATACTCGTTAGTATCTTATTCTATTAGTTCTAAATTCAAATATTGAAAATGTTTAAATTTAGAACACGATATCGTGTTACGTGTCTGCAACCATATTTATTTATTTATTCATTAGTACATATATGTACATGGCGAACTTAATGCTAAAAGCATTCTCTCCCAGTCAACCATAGGGAAGTGTCAGAATACTCGAATGCGGTACTAGTAATTATTGATATACATACATACTAAAATTACATATATAAAAGAACAAATATATATAAATAACAAATATACGTACACATATATGACATATACTATATTATACACGAAATTGAGAATAATATAAAGTACATTTAGTTTCGAAACAGTTTTTTGCTCCACAAAAACGGCAGCATCAATCATCGTTAGATTAAAAGAACCAACACCTAGGAATAGACCTCGTTGATTTCAAAAGCAAGTATCAAAATCGGTTAAGAATTTTTTTTGATGGGTGTAAATGGTATAGTGATGAAATGAAGATAGGTAGGTAAGATGAGAATGAAAATAGGCCAGTTAGCCCATCATGATGAATTCATCAGGAAATAACCATGATAGTTTCCAGGGAGAACCGCGAGGAGGTCGACCTGGTTGGGTATATTGTTGGCAATGGGATTCTCAGTCTCCATTACTAACAATCCCTTCCCCCCGGTTAAGTTAGTGACGATATCGCGTAACATGCATACAAAATATTAATGTATCACTATGGTTAAATCACATTTCTGAATTACACGATACAGGGTTTTTTTTAATGGATGATAATGGAATGGTAACCCCACATGCGCTATCGGTATACACCGGCGGGGCACCAGTGAAGAATGATAGGTGAGGATGAAGCAGGTCAGTTAGCCCATCGTGACGAATTCCACAATAATTGTTCACGATGGTTTCCAGGGGGAACCACGTGGAGGTCGACCTAATAGGGCATATTGCTAGCAATGGGTATGTCAAACTCCATTGCTAACAATCTCTTCCCTCCTCCCCCCAAATTTTTGTATTCATAATAGAAGTAAATTTTATAAGGTAGTAAGGATATCTCGTCGCCATAATTATAACATGAGAGCCTATAAGATACAACGGGACAGACAGATAAACGGAAAACCATCGACTGCTCATTGGCCAAAAAGCAATAAGTAGTTTCGGAGTTACGAGGAAACGAATTAACATATGTACTAACATAGACTGCTAAAATCATGTCTATCCTTTTGTTTCGCCGTAACACCGGAAACTTATACAGTTGGGCCGGTCTAGCAATTTGCATGGACGCATATCATACATATGCGAATATATGCTTTAGCATATATCCGTACGTTAGTCAAACAAAAACAAATTTAATTTAAGTAAACAATAGTCATTTTGAACCAATTTCAAAAAGAAAGAGATGCTCAATTCGGTTGTATTATTTCTATGTTTATTACCTTATTGATGGAGTTATGTCCTAAATCCTTTTGTACAGTTTTTGTTTAACAAAACTACGTTAGGTTACATTATGTTTTCAACCGACTTAAAAAGAAGAAGGTGCTCTATTCTGTTATATTTTTTAATATTTATTATCTCATAACACCATCAGTTCTAAACCCATAATCTGTTGTCCCATAGAAATTTTATCAAAATCGACTTAGTAATTTATTAATATGCCACAATTGAAGTCGGTTTTTTTTGTGATACAAAATCTTTATTTTATTACTCTACCGCCCATTAGGAATGCAATATAGCTTAGAAGAGTGAGCCAGAAAGTCGGCGAATTCTAAGTGGTCCGTTATGGGGTAATTTGGATGGATGTTTGGCTGCAATATGGTATATTTCCCTTAATTATAGCCCAATTTTAATAATGATTCTGTGATGTCTAAGACGTTTACACATGTATACATTGGCAACGGTTACCACTTTCTATTAATGTATCATTCCAAATCGTATAAAAAAAAAAAACTATCGTGCGACATAGTGACGTTTAAAAAAAAAATACCCTTTCGTACCCGTACCCGTGACAATGAAAGCAAGTCAGTTAGCCTATTGTGATGAGTTCCACTAGAATTAACCACGATGGTTTTCAGGGGGAACCGCGTGGAGGTCAACCTGACAGGTGGTATCCTCCTAATAAAATATCCTGAGAATCCCATTGCTAGCAATATACCCATCCAGGTCGACCTCCTCGCGGTTCTCTCTGGAAACTATCATGGTTAATTCCTGATGAATTCACCATGATGGGCTAACTGGCATGTTTTCATTCTCATCTATCACCCTTCACTGGTGCTCCGCCAGCGTATCCCGTTAGCGCAGGCGGGGTTACCATACCATTTTCACTCATAAAAAAAAACTGGTGCTCCGATAGTGTATACCGATAGCGAAGAAGGGGTTACCAGTTACCATGCTTAGTGAGCAGTGTCAAAGCTATTGTTTCTACCAGTTTCTACAAAAACCAGTTCCGCACTATCGGGTGTGTCACCGAGACAGACTGCGTGTCTGCATTTCGATTGTTATCGTAACAGAATCGCAATTCGAGAGTTTTACTCCACGTGCGAAACCTCGAGCGTGAACGAACTACCAGAATTGTTTTAATTGTATCCTTTTCATATTATATATTATACAATGTGAAAGTTTGTTTAGATATTTGTTCTCACACCTAAACGACTGTACAGATTTGAATGGATTTTGCAAAACAAGTAGACCATCATCGCATACTAATAACAAGATATATGAGTAATTCTTACGTAGAGCATTCTTTACCAGAGGGAGACTTTGTACAAAAGTCGATTGCTTGGGTACCTCTGTCCCATTCGTGTTTCTACCGTGAAGCAGTTGTGTTTGCATGGCTGTGTTTCGCTTTGAAGGGTGGGATATGGCGTAAATTTACAGGGTACAGAGGAATAACACCCGAGTCCTCAGGAATGGCAACACATGGAGGGTATCATGGGCGAAACAGTATACTCTGTTATTTCCATGGTATTGCTCATGTTCATAGGCGACGGTTACCACTTTCCATCAGGTGAGCCGTCAGCTTGTTTGCCATTCTAAGTTGTATAAAAAAAAATTAA